CAGGCTAGCTCCTCGCCATTAACTCAAAATTGTCCCTAATACTTTACGAAAGTCGCTGTACTTTTGTTGTGTCAATATCAGGGAGGATACAGAACCGAAAGATGGTAAAATTAGGTTGCTGGAAAATGTTGTAACTATTTTTATTTGTTTTCTTTTACATGTGTCTTTAAGTGCAACTTTTTTTCCAGCATTCATTCCCCCATTCTTCAATTTCCCTCACAAACAAACAAACAAACATGCATCCCCACAGACCATTTCCTAGAAACCTCCTTGCTCTAAGCAGATGTTAGGTATCGAATCGTCTCGTGTGTGTGACAAGCTGCAAATAGTCGTGTGTTATTTCAGCGGGCGCATGGCGTGTGGTTAAGACAAAACAAAAACACAACACTTTAAAAAGATACACAGAACGCACGAAAGTAGCGTTACGTACACAGTACGAGTCCAAACGATACATCTACAATACACTTGCACTCACGTATATTTCTGTCTCTACCTGTCTATTACATGCCTTTGCTTGATAAAAACAACAGTCAAATTTTCCTAAATGGTTGTGAACAATTTGGTAGCCGCTGGCCAGAGAGGTATTGAATTTTTTATGGCCCGCTAACTTCTTCTTTTGAGACAGAAAATACGAACAATACTTTACTAAAGAAGTCAAACTCAACAAAACTAGCTAGATGTTTATTTTATACTACAGAAACTAGTTCTTGATGTCGATGTATAATTTTATCATCGTTATATCTGTGTTTCATGTTCTTGGAATCCGCCTTTGGGCATGTATTAGCGATTAGTGTATTGTTGTGTTCTTGCTAAATTATTTACGCCATTTGCATGTAAAATTTTACTATTCTTAGCACGGGTAAGCAAATGATTTTGATAGAGACTATGTATTAGTATTTGTCCTCTATATATATACACACACACTTACAATGTACTGCAGGGATTAGTTGTTGAATGCCTTTGGGCATGTATTTGCGATTAACGTATTGTTGTGTTCTTGCTAAATTATTTACGCCATTCACATGCAAAATTCTACTATTTTTAGCATGGGCAAGTAAATGAGTTTGATAGAGACTGTATAATTGTCCCCTGTACACACAGGTTATACAGCCTCCTATGTAGCCTCCGTAGCAGGCTTATAGAACTGGGGGTTTGGTGGTCTTCGGCTGTTTTCTGATTAGCCCAGTTCTAAAAACGTGGTTTAAATTTTCAACCAGGCCGGCTATGTTGTCTATATGCAATCAGAAAATAGCACATAAAAGCTCCCAAAAGACCCTGAAGACCCCCAAACCCCCCAGTTTTTTGCATGCCATGGAGGCTACTCCTATCGCCCCTCCACACCCATACATATCTCCGCCACGCCTTCGTTGTTTGGAGAACTACTCAAAACAAGAGCAGCGGCGAATTCATCATTCCAAAACCACTTAGAATTAATCTTTATCGGGTTTTGCGCAATCCGATTAGATACGCTCTTCTTTCTACGTGTCGTTAAAAAAACGTTACAAAGCGTGTCCACAACAATCAGAGAGGGACAGGCCCTCAAACTAGCGGTACTGAATCATACACGCACTAGATTCTTACATCCTGTTAATATTATAATGTTCTAACGTTCTACAAGTCTCCAAGAGTTAATACCTTGAGAGACAACTGACTCTGAACTGAACCAAACGTAAAACTGAGCACCTAGAGACCACGTCTAGCGACATAATAGACGTTAAACAAGGACAACAGCAACAACTGTTAATAGAATATACTTTCTAGTAGTTCCTAAGACATTTGTGTTATCCTTTTATTCTTATTACATGTACTACAGATGTATGTTGCTCAGTATCCATATACATAACGTAACATCGTCTATACATGTATGTATTTAGCCCCATGGGCATGAACATGCAAATATAGATTGACGATGAATAAAGATTTAACTACATTTTTTCCATTAAAAAAACAGAAATCAACGAAGATCGACTGCTTCAGATTTGTATATTGGAACGCAAGTTTCGGCAGGATTTCCAAGAATACCGTACGCTTACTGACCAATCCAAGGTTATGTCAGCGATATTCAATCTATACCTAATACTAGTACTAGAACTACTGTACTGTAGTCTCCCCCAGTCTAACAATTCTAGCTATAGTCGTATATATTGAGAGAAAATATTTGCCATGCATGGCAAGGGAATTTGGCCACCATAGAGTTCATTTGCCTTCCTAGAAGAAATAATTACCCTAACTCCCCTGGACAATTTTTGCCCAATTTTACAATCCGTAACCCATCCAGAAGGCCTGTTGGAGGCTAGAATACATTCATAACGCCTTAGGAAGGCCTGGTGGAGGCTAGTGTACATTTATAACGCCCTATGAAGGCCTGGTGGAGGCTAACTGCTCACGACGAAAAGCCTTCGCCTATTAGCGGGCCTCTGACTAATTTGTCCTAACGTGCGTACACACAGGCGAACAGAAGCCGACAAACGAAAAACACTTGCCTCACAACTGACCAGCGGAATGCCCGCCCTAACGCCTGCCTTTTATTTACTGCTCTTTGATGTCAGAGCCTTTTCGTTCCACTCTACTTCTACATGTACGACGCGATTCCGCAATTATAGTGGAGAGAAAAATCCCAACTTCACCACAACTCCCCCCCCCCACCCCCACGAAAAAAAGCACTGTCCAGTATCCGGCTTTTGTTTACATTCTCTTCATTTACGACGAATTATCGTTTACAGCGGTGTGGGTTTAGGGGCAGAGTGATAAGGCAGGCTGCTCTGTGTAACTAGAACTGTGAGTGGATGGGGGCAGGGACAAGCATTTTGCCCTGCTCTGTTCTCTTCCCGTCTTCTGTGTGTGTGTGTATAAAAAAAGACACAGCAAGGGTCGTCTCAGCAAGAGGCTTTTACAAATCTCCGCAAACAAAGGGCTTGGGAAAACAAAGCCAATCCTACGTTTACGCTAGGTAGGCACCGCGATGAAGCCCGTTTCGCAATGAGGCGCAAATAACTACGTCAAACTGTGGGATAAGGGCCTAGCGCAAACAAGGAGGACCTCGCGAAGGCGTCCTAACCCGTTCACAGCGCGGTGTGAACAGCATATTCTGCCCCAAGGGTCCACACGACAAGGCTAGTACAATGTAAATTTTTCTGGGGACTGTCCGAAGCGTGTCTGCCTTTCGTCCGAAGTGATGGCTGTGACAGCGCCCATACCAGCGCTGAACATGCGTTTCGCAACACCCATACATGCACTACCAGCACACACACCACGAGGTTTATAAGAAGAGATCTACAAGACAAGACGGTTCGTACTCACGTATGATCGGATTCATGCTCCGTACTGTGTTCCCCTTTAGGTAGAACTTGGCGGACTCGTCGTCTAAAATCCCGTTGGTTGTCCGCTCGTACAGTTCCAACATGAAGCGCGGAGGCGACTCGTAGATTTCCGAGAAAAGGTCCAAACCCTGCATGTTATGGCCCTGTATCTCCTTAGGCCACATTCTGGCCGCTGCCTCCTCGCTGCCGAAAGGGCTGCCGTAGTCCAAGGTAGGGTTTTCCCAGTACTGAATGGCGAGGGCGGCGTGTAGAAACAGCACAGTCGCGGTGTACAGTCCCCGGGCCATGCTTGGAAGCGTGGCTCTAGCCCGTGAAAGTCCGACTCGGGTGTAACAAGAAGCTGCAGATCTCCGTTCAGTGTCTCACCTGTGGAAAAACAAACGGCGACTTAACTGGTGATCACCACGGCACTGAATGTTTATGGTAGCGGGCCGCTCGTCCCATACCGGCGGGGTTAGGGCCGACACTGCTCCGGCTAGTTTTCTCCAACCCGCCCCGATGCTGCTACAGTTAGACCACGCCGCGAGAGAACGTCAGCTTTTTTTCTAGAGGAGCAACCAACCAAACTGTAGCGCGGTGGTAAAACTGCCGTCTGCGGTGACCTCCGAGTCCTGTGCCACTTCTCTACTTACCAACACCGGGGTGCCCCGCCTCAAGAATGCGCAAACATTAAACATTACAAGCCTCGCGAAATCCCGCGCTCAACCCTTCTGCGCATATTCCGCTTGCGCCAGCCGACCGAACCGAGCGAGCGAACGCGCGGCCTCAAAGTTACGGTGTCAGAGTTAATCTGGCCATTAAACACGGGACGTTCTTAAATACTACCCGGCTGTCAGCACTAGAGTACAGCACGGCCCGAGAGCAGTGGCTGGCATTTGGTGTTGATTTGAGCAAGTTATTTCAAGCATTCCGCAGGTTTGCAAGCCACCGCCGCGCCAGTTAAAGGTAGCGCGTTTAGTTTAGCTTTCCTATAAGTTCTATAAATAAGGAACTGCTGCAGAGAGGGCCTTAAACAAGCCCAGAAGCGCTGAAGAGGAAGCGCCAAATCCTGCACGCCGGAAGAACTGGTGCACAGCTCGTGTGTCAGGGACTGTCTTTTGATGACATGGACTTTACTCCTCACAGTAACCCTTGGGCGAGCAAATTTACCTGCACAGCCAGCGACCACCTTGTTTTGTCCGGGTATGTCTTCCGAACCCGAGCCCTCTACAGGTTTATATCGTTTGCTACACACACACAGCACGCGACCTAACCAGGCCTACACCATGTACACACATGTACTAGACCTTCGCGGGCTTTCTATGGCAATCGTCGCGTTGTTTTGCTCTGTTGTGGTTTGCATTTTTTTCTGCCGCGAACGTCGTAACTTAGGAGGCCGTCCGACCGCCTAGGATATCCCCCGGCCTGCCCACCATTATTACCTAGCCTCCGTAGCAGGCTTACAGAACTGGGGGTTTGGTGGTCTTCGGCTGTTTTCTGATTAGCCCAGTTCTAAAAAACGGGGATAATTCAACCAGGCCGGCTATGTTGTCTATATGCAATCAGAAATTAGCACATAAAAGCTCCCAAAGACCCTGAAGACCCCCCGTTTCTGGCATGCTATGTAGGCTATAAATGATCACAGTGCGTACCATTTGTCAGAGGCTTTCCCCACACATTAGAGAGAGGCACACGCTGGTCTTATCTCACCGGTTCATCTCGATCACCCAGTCAATCACTGAACATCGATTACAGATCGACACATCAGATAAGGCATGTTTTTTTCCGCGCAGACAAACCCACTAAACTGTAGGGTGCGTACACTACTGTAGGTAGTACATGTGTGTGTGTACCTGTGGTCAGACTGCGTGCGTCCTTCGTGGCTCTAGCCGGTGCATAAACAGTCGAGCTCTACTCGCGAGCAGCCAGAATAACATGCCGGGCATGCTCTAGCTTCGAACAGTCTCGGTTCTGTGTACAGGGTTTGGAGGTGAGGAGAGTACCTGTAGCGCGGAGAGCGGACGGCATTCCACCCCGGGTCGGTCTTCCTCGGCGTGGACAAATGTGCTGCATTTATATGTAATGGTATGATCGCCCGAGGGGAGGTTTGCGGGTTTTGCGGTGTGAATGAAACTTTGCTATTGTCCATTGTCTGTGCGGATCATAGGCTAGGGTTCTGTCGTGTCTTACCTTGCAACTAGCCTCTACCAGGCTTCGGGAGGCGGCTGGAAAGAGTAGAAATAGGCCAAACAGTACTGTGTAGTGCCGCAAACTGTACTCTAGAGCGGACCAACTCCCCTGGCATGTTATCTCTCTATTTTGCCGATTTCTTCTACTCTACCAGCCTCCTCCCGAAGCCTGGTAGAGGCTAGGCTAGGGTTCTGCTGTGTCGTACCTTGCAACCGTGTCAGGAGGCTATGCAAGGTGTTCTTAATACACGTGTTCTGTTTTTTTTTATAGATTATGATATGTTACCTGTATCATGTACGTAGATCCTAAAATGCCCTCTTCTATACAACAGAAAACGTCTAGCATGAAAGATCATCTGAGTTGGTAAATTATATTAATGAGAATTAAATTGTTTTCCAACTCAAAGAGGTTTACTCACCGGAATTTTTTACCAAATCATCAGCTTTCTGCGTAAATTTCTGGAGTTGGAGAACAGTTTAATTCTCATTATGTAATTTACCAACTGAGATGAACTTTCATGCTAAACATGCATATATATGTTCTGTTAAATTGTTTAGAGGGGGGGGGGCATTTTTAGGGTCGACGTATATACGGAAGACACTCGTCACTTTCTTTTTGGTTTAGTAGCATTTTCATTTTTGGTCGGAATTTTTTTCCGCCCGCGCGCACTAGTTTGGGGGTCTTCAGGGGATGTCATCCATACAATTAAGACGGCGTGGCCTCAGGTAAACAGGCCCATGTAAGGATGTAAGGTGTCCCGTACCGTGTACATGTGAGTTGGGTAGCCTCCGTAGCAGGCTTATAGAACTGGGGTTTGGTGGTCTTCGGCTGTTTTCTGATTAGCCCAGTTCTAAAAAAACGGGGGTAATTCAACAAGGCCGGCTATGTTGTCTATATGCAATCAGAAAATAGCTCATAAAAGCTCCCAAAGACCCTGAAGACCCCCCAAACCCCCAGTTTTTGGCATGCTATGGAGGCTACGGTAGTCTATTAGAGCCAGGTAAACAGGTCCATGTAAGGTGTACCGTGTACATGTGAGTTGGGACCGGTTAGCTCGGGTGGGCGGTAGGACGCAGCTTGCTCTTATCAGTCCGATCTGCCGCAAACATGCACCACGATTGACGAAATTACGCGAACCGCATGTTCGCTAGCCTGGGCGCCAGGCACACGGCAGGTGTACGTGTGTAGATCAGGGTCAGAACTGAGTGATGGGGGCTGATGGGGTATGATTTTATTGGGGACATGTTGGCCTTGGAGCCGAGAAACTGGCCGGCGTAGGCCCTGGAAACAGCTTGGCACCCTGGCTACCCTCAGCCTGGACGCTACCTAGTAGACGCTACCTGGACGACAGACCCATAGCACACTAGGCTCAAACTTATAAGTGTGCTATGGGTCTGGTACCCAGGCTAACTGAGGGGGCTGTCGTATGTTTTCCTTGGGGGTATGTTGGCTCTGCAGCCAAGGAACTGGCCTAGAAACAATCTGGCACCCAGGCTAACCATGGGCTAACTGAGGGGACTTTGGCGTGATTTCGTTGGCCGCATGTTGGGGAACTGCCCTGGTAACAGTCTGGCATCCAGGCTAGCATGTTGGCCCTGGGGCCTAGAAACTGGCCTGTGTAGGCACTGGAAACAGTCTGGTACCCACTGATGGGGGCTGGGGTACTAGTACTAGTATAATGATTTCCTTGGGGGCATGTTGGCCCTGGAAGCAGCCTGACACCCAGCCTACCAGAAGTTGAGGGGGAGGGGGAAAGCCACCAGAAGGACCCAGGTTGTGTGGGCGGCCCAGCACGCCCGCCGCCCCGCCGCGTGCTCACGCCTCTCCTGGCACGGCAGGGGCGCACAGCTCCTCCGCCCCCGGCACATGGTCTGCCTTACTAGTGGCAATGAGACACATGGTCCTTAGTACAGTAGGGGCATTGTCATTAGATAGCCTAGAGTTAGATGTTCAAGGGTTAGGTGTAACAAGTCAATCGGTGTAATGTAGCCAGCTGCCGCCGCGCCGCGTGCCTGCGAAGCTGGTGTGTTACGCCGAAGGATACAGATCTAGTATCTGTATACTGTATAAGGCCATGTTGATTTGATTATATGGATGACATCCACGCGCGCATGAATTTTCGTCCGTTTCCAAGAAAAAAAAAGTTTTCAACCATGCTGTAAATCGTACAAAACAGTTGCAAAATGAGCAAATACTAGTATACACCGTATGTTGCAAAGATAAATATTTGGAAACCATACCAATGTCGTAGAATGCCAAAATCAAACGAAAAAGAAAATGTGAAGAAATGAATTTGAAGACTATATTATTCGCTGTACTATACTCTGTGTCATTTGTTCAACTTTCAAAACTACCTAGATTTCATAATATAGGAAACTTTTTTTTCGCCAAACTTTTTTTATTCGTACGCTCGCATCAGTTTTGGAGTTTCTAGGGATGTCATCCATATAATCAAATCAACGTGGCCTAACCCCCGCTCGTGTAAAGAGACACCGAAAGACGCAGTGTAAAGAATGCGAGTCGTCAGGGGGGATTTCTCCCAGCCGGCCACTACAAACACGGACACGCTAAGGGATACAAGCAGATGTCGGCGGGCTAGATCAGGACGTTTTGTTGGACTGTCAGACCAGCCTTGGATGAGTCGGCTGTCAGAAAAATCAAAGAAATACATTTTCCCATCCAACCACCTCTTGGCCCAATTTGAGAGAAGTCAAGCTCCTCTAATACTTAAGATATTAACCCAGTGACCCTGTGCCCATGTTACAAACTATGGTACATACTGCTTTCTCTGCTTAGCGCTCAGCATCTATGAGAAAGAGTGCTGGGAGGTCAAACACACACTACTACGTACCAGTGGATGTGCCCCCTGCTTTAGTGATTACACAACTGTGTGGCCCAAGGGCTACAGAAACAGAGATGGGCACCACCCCTATGCTCTACACAGAGTGGAACGAGACCCCGTTTTTTATGTGAAGTCAAGTCAAGGTTGTTGCAAACCACATCGGTCAAGTCTTGAATGCATTGCTACGGAGGCTAACTGCACAACCACTGTCTAAAAGATAAGGATTGAAGCTTCGACATGCTTCAATTTGTACTTTTTTCTGGAACAACAAAACCAGCCCAGATGTTCTCCCTGTATCATCAGGTTAGTGTAGGCGGTGATGATGACGCACTAAACGGCTGAATTCTGGGCCCGG